AAAAAAAAAAAAAAAAAAAAAAAAAAAAAAACTCAAGCTTTCTGGCCTATCTTCAAACCATGATCATCCACTCCACCCAATATGGCCATCATTCTTTTTCCTTTTAACAACATGTTCTTTATTCTTCAAGGCTCAACTCAAGCTACTAGTCTCAACATTGAAGTTTGGAGATGATGAACAACAAAGGTAAATCTCGAATATCTTTTTAGTTGAGACTCAATTTTTTAGTTTGAATATTTTTTCTGTTTCTGTGTTTGTCCATTGCATATGGAGAGCTGGAAGAGTCATTGTTGACAATTCTCCTGGCATAGTGCTAATAATGGACTATATCAAAATGACTCAATTAAATTCTAGTGCTTCTTCTATTAATGAAGATTTTAGGAAAAAATATATCAAACGACGCAACGCACCTTGGGTCGCTATGGAAACAGTCTCCTTGTATAATTACAAGGGTAAGGTCAGCGTACAACTGACCCCCCAAACACCAACCTGTTGGGAATATACTGGGTATGTTGATGTTGATGTTGATGTGAATATTTTTTCTATAATTGAATTTGATTTGGCTTTGGCCAACTCTTAGAAATTTAAAGGAGTTGACTTGTAGGAGAAAAATTAAAGTATCTGAACCTTATCTCAAAGGCCCAAATGTGGGATTAATTGTCAAAGTCTTCTCCTCATTCACCTTCTCGATGCATCTCTCCAACACCCCGCAGCCACGACTGTCTGTATCGTGGAGTTCTCATGAAACAAAGTTTTCTCGGTTTGTTTTGACCAACCATTTTCTTGCACATAGTTTTTGATAAAAGAGAATCCGTACCTAGTCTTGAACGACGCCACGGCTGACGCTTGGGATATTTTCATTGGAAAAAATTCTTCTAATTTTTTTTTTTTTGGTATTCATATACTTATGATGACTATGCAAATCACTAGGTATTTGTCATGTTACTCTGCAATTCTAATAGTTGTATGATGTTATATGTGTCAACTGTAAATACTCAAACCCGAGATTTTGTTCAGACTTCATATCTAATTGGATAATCGTATCTTTTTATTTGTGGGTTTAGTCATTTGTACATCTCCTTTGGTTCAGACATTTTCTTAAAATTCTCATAGTTACTAACTGTGATTGTGAAACATGTGGTGTCAAGGGTAGATGCATTTAGTATTATACTCTTCATCTCATTCGATCACAAGCGATAATTAACAATCTTTCAACAATGTGTGTGGCCGCTAATATTGTTGCATTGAAATCCAGAGGCAGATGAGCCTATCAGTCATAATAATTCTTCAATTGATAATTGATATAAATATTACTAGAGTAGATGCACGTGTGAGTCTGTTTAAAATTGATATATTGGTCTCTGTTTGGATATTTGTCTCCGTATATTGGTCGATTTCCGAGGCGGGTTGCGTCTCGTTTGTATGCATTCGATGAAGTTTTTCCAAACACGTTTTTTCAGAGTTCCTTGGCATGGATTCTTTTGAGTGTAGATAGGGTGGGATTTGATGATATGTTTGTAGGGGTGTTTATTGTTTAAATTTGAAATATTGGTCTTTGTTTGGATATCCTTTTCCATTTTAGTTGATAGTCGGGTTGGGTTGGGCTGCATCTGGTCTGTATAAGTACGATGAAGTTTTTCGAATATGCGGTTTTTTGGAGTTTCTTGGAATGGATTGTTTTAGGTGTGTAGATAAGGTGGGTTGTTTGCAGAAGTCTTATATGGACTTGGACACTATTCATGCAAATGTATCAGTTCTTATGGTCTCACACATTATATGCAAACAATGTTTTGATATTTCTTCGATGAAACTATCCTTCCTTGTACATTTTCAAATGTCCTTAAAAGGCATGGGAAGCTGACTGAACGACTTACTAGGTACATACCCTAAACTTCTCCCCGTGCTTGAACGAGATGTTGATTACATAATTTTATTTATTGAGAACGATTTGCACGTGGCCATTTACATTCTTTATTTTACATAAAGTTGAAACGGATTAGATCTTTAATTGGTAAAAGCAACATATATGTTTGCAATTTGATGAAATTTGTCAATGGAAAATCCTGAACGTCGAAATAATTCAGTCTATGAGTTATTTATTCCAACACGGTGGCTCTTTCATAACTTAAAAAAAAAATTAATATCACATACACTTTATTTTCTATTATGTTTGTTTGACAGTCTGTCATGATGTAAGTTTTTGTTACTTTTAACAAAGGTTCCCAAAGTTTCTTATTTATTAAGACTCTAAGAAAATAATTTTTGAGCGTATGCAAAAAGAGTTTGACGCTCGATGTGCTTCTCAAACTAAAGGTAGTGTGCTTTTGCATTTTTCGAGTTTTGTACGTAATGCTATCAGCTTTGGATTTTTTTTCTTAACTGTGTATGGAATTTCGTGTGTGCGATTTGAGTTATGTTTGAATGTTTTGTAGCTTATATTGCAAGATGAGCACTAGAAGACCTAGAAATATTAATTTTAAAAAGTCTAAACAATCAATATAAGATTTTCTAAGTTTTAAAGATGCATTTATTATTTTTGTATAAGCAATTAAGTATAATTTTTTATTATTTATAATTAAGTATTATGTCGTAGGTTGGAGTTATAGTTGAAGATGGAGCCTTAAGGTTGGAAAACAAGTTAACTACTTTAGAAGAAAGGGTGAATGATACGGTTTGCCGCATGGCTAATATAGATTTGAAGTTACATGGGTTGTTTGATTTAGTTAATTCACTTATAAGGCACAATTATTGATGAAGTTATTGAGAAGTTAATATCAAAAGACCAATCAAACTCACCAAAGGCAAAACATTCAAAAGATGAACCAGCATTCAATTATGAAGCATTTGTTCATGCAACATGTTCTCGTGAAAAATCAGATGTTTGTCGCTTAAAAAATTCTGATAATTTTGAATTTGATGCATCTATGAGTGGAATGGATATGGGTAGATTAATATCACATGAACTGCATATAGTGTTAAGTGATTCATATATAGAAACTCCATTAGACTTAAAGAAAGAAGGCGAAAGAGTGATATATACAAAATCAAATGTTTCCAATACTTCTGAAGGTGTTTCTTCCAAACTTATGAGTTCGAAGAATTACACAAAGTGTCCCTTGAAGAGTCATGCAAAGGTAATAAATTATTTCATATGCATATATTGTCTTACAAGCTACATCTAGAAATTTGGTTAAAAGTTTCTCGCTATTCATATTGCCTAGCATGTTTTATGACTTATTTTTATATTAGGGTGTTGTAGAGAATTTTAGTATTATAAAGAAGAATGTTTCGAAGTACATATTCGATATAATCCCCAACCACAAGTAAGAGTTTATTTATATGCACCATTCTTTTACCATTAGAATGCATATAAAATTTATTGTTAATTTATTTTTTTTTTGATGTTGCAAGTGAAATGATCGTGCTGATGTCAGGAGAGTTTGGAGACAGAATACAGTTAAAACAACTACAGATTTCAAAGTGGCTAAGCGCAAAAATAAGTTTAGTTATGTTAAACAGAAATTCTATGGAACAATCAAATGATTTTCTTATGGAACCATCTAACACTTAATGTATTGACATAAGTCCAAAGTGTATTTATTTTATGACACATGTCAATACACTATTTTTTAATAAGTATTGATTGCTCCATAAGTTATACCACTCGATGGCTTCATAGCAAAACCGTTAATTATTGAAAAGAAAAAGGGTTGTGATATTGGAAGCATATATCGTTACTAGTATTCGACCTGTGCATTTGCACAGATATAAATAAAGTATTGTGAGTTATTTGTATGCATATAATCATTAATAATTTTTCTTGCACTTTTTGCATGCCACATTTACAATTTAAGGAGTTGGAATAGTTATTTTTTTAAATTGCGTTTATCATATTGGATGTGCATGTAGTGTATATTTTGGTATGTATTTTTTTGTGAATTATTTATTATTTTATTTAGGAATTTCAAATACGTTTTTTATTTTTCAAAATAAGTTAATTTAAATGTAACCACAACAATAACATCTAATCACGTTAAATGGTCAACACAATATATGGTCAACTGTAAGTAAATCAAAAGTTTAAAATGATTTTTTTTTTTAAATTTTGAAGTGATTAATGTGTTGATTATCTAATAACTAAATGAGAGGTTAAATAAATAAAAAGTAACGGTTTTTGGAGAGAAAAGTTATATTGCCATATAGGTATAATTTAATAGGTTTTATTAAATGTTCATGAGCCAGTAATTATATATATATAGATATAGATTTCTTGCGTAAAGATAAATATGAAGGGGATATTAAAAAATGTGAAAATCTAATTTTCTATAATTTTGATGCAATGTTAATAAGTTAGCTAATAATATTGTTTGAGTAATGGCTTATTGACATTTTGAATTTTTAAATGCATAGATCTTCATTCCAATGAATAATGGAGATCATTGGTACTTGTGTGTGTAGTCTACACAATCAAAGATGAGGTTATGATATTTGACTCACTTAGGCTAAAACATTGCATTGAACGAATTTCAATTGCTAAAGTTGTGGTAATTAGTTTGGAAATCATTTTTTTTTTTTTTTT